GGTCTGCGGAAAAACCTCTCCACAGAACCGGTGCCCAAAAGATTGGGGACCTCTGCTTTAGAAGAACAAGAGGAATCAATTATCTATGACCAGATAAGCCAGTACATCTAAAATGCGTGTATCTGGCGAGCATCCACTATGTGTAGAGAGCATCGAGAGTGGCCTTCAAGGGCAGGAAGAAGACCCACTATCAAGACAACGATCAGACAAGCCCAGTTTGAGTCCACTGCAAGAAATGAGTTTAAGTAAATATCACAGGCTTCTTCACACTAAGATAAAGTGAGGAAGCACATTCAGACTTGCAAGAATCTATTACTGTAGCTGTTACAGTGAAAATAACCTATATGGTTTCTTACTATGGTCTATCTTATAAGGGCCAACACTGTGATATGCAGGGATATAAAATACGCCACTTCACTATGAGTAATGCATATAGTAGTTACTTTTTGAACAAACAATCAACAATTCAGCAAAAATAAGCTCTTTTTCTGATTCCTGAATTTTCATTAAAAAATATAAATTCTCAACACACAAAAGTAACATTGTAGATTAAAGTAATAACAAATTTCAAGATCTTCATAGTATAATATATCTTACCTCTAATTAAACTAATATTAAAAAACAATCTCAATTAAATTCAAGCATTTTATTTAGCTTTGCCTAAGCTATTCAACAAAGAGGGCTTCTAAATGTTAAAAAGTTACCTCCTGCCAAATATAATTGTAGTATATTTTTCTGCAGAGATCACATTGTATTCATAATTTTCTATATAACCGTGCTGTTTATTCTTATTCCTTTTAATAAATTCAAAAATCTGCATTTCATATTGGATAATTAGTTTAATTCTGAATCACACGAGAATCATGGATTACTAATTTAACACTTACCACAAATTCAAATATGTAAATCAGAGAGATCTATAGAAAGTTATCTATGTTGTATTTATTAACTAGTAAGTAAAAAATTTAAATTGACATTTTAAATTGACATTTTAAATGTATTAAAAAATTTTTTAATTGACATGGATTTTTATAACTTTTTACTACTTTTTACTACTTTTTACTACTACGGTACATAATTTGCAGTTTTTAAAAATATCAGTTGTATTTTATATATCTTCCCATAATATAGTTTCAATTTTACTTCTCCAAATCATTGGTTATTTTCTATTAAATATTTTCAGTCAACTTTTTAAGGCTTTTTACATTGTTTGGAAGAAGACGATTTAACAATTTTTCAGGAACTTCCTACAAGTTCAAATAAAACCAAACTAAACATTACATTAAACTAAAATGTAACAGCAAATTACTTCTGTTCGACTTACATACCCAGCAGCAGAAACCATCAACAACTTCTGATGTATCCTGATGCTACAGTAGGTTGAGAAATGGCATGCAAACAACCTTCATTCATATTATTCAACCACTCTATCGCATAGTACATATATCTGCAAAAATATGTTATGCATTGTTGCTAACAACTATTTATGATTTTCTAGGCTTACATAAATAAATTTGTCATTTCAACTTACACCAAAATTGCAGTGATTAACAACAGGAAGTAGGAAGTTTGGAAGAGGTTTTGATGGATCCAGGTAAACCAAGTAATATTTGAATTGGATTCTTCCAGCTTTAGTACCCATACCTTCCAAGAATCGTAGATGGTATCAAAAGTTTGAAAAGGTCCGCACATTTCTGATGGTTTTATTCTGTATGGAGAAAGAGAGGCTAAGTACATATCAAAATGTCAAGCGAAAGGAAATGTAACTCATGTAACTACCATATCTAATTCTTCATTTTACAGATTTATCTATAATCTCTATTGCTTATTATAAAATCAATGTTTTCAGTATTAATTTAAACACAATTTATAGCACCAACATGTAAAAAGCAATTTCCCTCTTGACACATGTTCCTTCTTTATTTAACAATGTATAAAAGATTTCCCAAAGATGCTTTTTCAAAAGGCCAACTGCACTTTATTTTTCCTTGAAGCCGTTTCGCTTCTCACCCAAGAAGCTTCTTCAGTTCTGGCTGTCAGAACTGAAGAAGCTTCTTGGATGAGAAACGAAACGGCTTCAAAGAAAAACAAAGTCTACTTTAGATGCTTTTTGAAAAAGCACCTTTGGGACAACCGTGACCTGGATGACTGAGAATCTCCACAGAGATTCTGCAGAGATGCTGCATATGCAACTATATGCGAATGGGAGTTCTGAGAATGGAAAATAAAGCAGATTTAATTATGGCCTTCCTAATAATAGAAAGAGCAATTTGCAGCAGCTTAAGATATATTTTTCAAGAGAATAAATAAGTGCTTTGTAACAAAATAACATCATACTAAAGTTTGCAATGACAGAACAATCACAGGCTCACTTGATCAGAAATGCAGTCTATATTTTTCTGACCTGACGTGTTAAAATGTTTCTGCTGCAAGTACCAAGGGACTAGCATTGGTAGAAGACTGGCCTCTTAGGAGGAAAGGAATACTTTTTTTTGGTGACATGGTAACTTGTATGTGGATGGAGATACAAGTTTTACAACACAATGCCAGTGAGAGCCCCATTCTCCCCAAAACCTAGACCTGTTTTATATCAGACAATGGAGGGCAGAATGGAGATTATAGAAATGTGGAGAAAGAAGTTGCGACTATTTGTTCTGAAATATTTCACATCTGGAATGTAACAGCAAGAGGTTATTTTGCACAGGAAAATCTACTCACGCCCAGATGGTATAGGAGAGGAATATGGAGGCACCCAGGAATGAAGGGAAGCACAACAAAGAGATGAAGATGGTGCTCATATGAGATGCACGCCAGGGTTTACTGGGACACTGACAATTTCTCATCAAGCTGACCTAAGAGGGATTCATAGGAAAATTAATAGGTTTTTACTTAGTCCTAAGAGCAGTCGTTTCTGAGTAAAACGTACATGCAGTATTTATGTATGTTGAAAAAGGTGAACTATAGACAATAAATGCTTCTCCTCTCCTTTAAGCGTAACTTATGCCTAAACTCTGCAAAGGAATAAATAATGTAGGGTGATTTTAAGGAGGGGAAAATAAACAATGGCCAAAAAATTTTCTCCCCCAAATGTAACCTCCCAAAAGGTTTTTTTTTTTAAAAAAAATATTTTATAAAAATGCTCTAATTCACATCTCACGGTAATGTGCATTTCATTCATTGCTGCTTCTGAAGGAGTAGAGTGTGAAATAAATATCTTCCTCTTGGTTCAAAACTCCTGATGGATTTCCCTTTCTGTAAATGATCTTCTGGTCAATGCAGCTCCTCTTATTCAATGTGATTTGCTAACTTTTCCATCCTGACTGGGTGGGGAGGGGCGGGGATGGAGGAGCTCTAATATTGCAGCTACTTCCACACTCCTGTCCTTTGTCCATGCATGCAGCCAGGTAATGCAAGGTGCATCAGAACTAAGAGAAATGGCAACTAAATTACCTTCTTAACATAGAACAAGAGCAGTAATTTGAGGATTTGGACCACAGGAAGAAGTGGGGCAAAGAAGACCCCCAGCCTAGGAAAAAAATTAAAAAGATGAAGAAGAGAAATGTTATATTGCTTATTTCAGGGGTCCCCAACTCCCGGTCCATGGACCAGTACCGGGCCGCAGCATGCCAGCAACCGGTCCGCACAAACAACCAAAGTCCCATCTGCGAGATGCAGGCAGTACACAAAACCACACCCCCTCCAGTCCGCAGAAAAACCTCTCTCCACGGAACTGGTCCCTGGTGCCCGAAAAGTATGGGACCTCTGGCTTATTTCATTAAGATGCAATGTACTAAGGCCCCATTTACTTTACTTTACCCCATTTACTTAAGTAATCAAAAACTTTGATTTAGAGATGGAGATGGATGGACCACAGAAGCCAGTGATAATGAACTACAGTGAAACCAAAGTTCTATCTCACAGGTCTTCATGATGTTAATCCAATGTATTTTTTTATAAAAAAAAATAAAATACATAAATGTGTTGGGAAGTATTTTGAAAACTTTGACAAAGCGAGGGCACAATTATTTTAAATAACATTAGCACAAGGGTTCTAAAGATCAACATACTTTGAAGTTTGTAATTGGGTTTTTTTATATATAAGGAATAAAGCAGGAAACAACCAATAGAAGGAAAAGAAAGAGTCTCACCAGGTTAGGGTTTGTCC